AATATCCACCAACTGCTATCTTGATGTGGATGAAAATGGAAAACCAACTGATCAAACAAAATATAGAGGGCTTATCGGTTCTTTATTATATCTCACAGTAAGTAGACCTGACATTATGTTTAGTGTTTGTATGTGTGTCAGATTCCAATCTGCACCAAAAGAATCTCATCTTATTGCTACAAAAAGGATCCTCAAATATCTCAAAGGAACATTAAATGTTGGGTTGTGGTATCCTGGTGAGTCTAAACTAAATCTAATTGGTTACTCTGACTCAGATTTTGCAAGGTGTAAGCTTGACAGAAAAAGCACAAGTGGTACCTGTCATCTCCTAGGAAGCAGTTTAATTTCATGGTATAGCAAAAAAAAATCATGTGTTGCTCTTTCTACTGCTGAAGCCGAATACATTGCAGCTGGAAGTTTTGTGCTCAATCCTTATGGCTCAAACAACAGCTTGAGGACTATGGTTTAATTCTCAATAAAATCCCTCTTTTATGTGATAATACCAGTGTCATCATATTAACAAAGAATCCAATTCAGCATTCTAGGACAAAACATATAAAAATTAGACATCATTTCATTAGAGATCATGTTTTAAAAGGTGATTGTGAAATTTTTTTTATAGAAACTGAGAAACAATTAGCTGATATATTAAAAAAACGTCTTGCTCGTGATCGATTTTATAAAATCCGAACTGAATTAGGCATTTTAGATGCATCAAACATCACTTAGTTCTCATTACTGATTATTTTAATTGATATAAACTAGCTTTAATCGATTAATTTCACTTATAATACTATTGTTCGTACTATTTTAATCGATTAAATTTTGATTCAATCGATTAAACTCTATCAGGATTTTAATGTGCATCTGTTATTCTTGTTTTAATCGATTAAAATGTTATCTGTATCAATTAAAATCATTAACAAGAACCATTTAGTCGATTATGTCCTGTTTTTAATCGATTATTATTCTGGAAAGGAAATTAAAGGCTTTAGTTAATGGTTGTTCTTGTAACATGCTACTAAAGCAAGGTTCCCTTATCTTTACAAGTGTCTATTGTATTCATTACAAATGTCTTAATGAAGATAAATTTGAATCAACTTTAATTGATTCTTAAATGAATAATACATCTTATTGATATTCTTTTTTTCTCTGATTATACTGGAACTGTTTTTAAAAATAAATTTTGTTATCATTACATGCTATGCATATTGCTTGTTTTATCCCTCTCTTCGCTATTTTTGATGAAGTCAAAGGGGGAGAAATGATTAATTTTTTAAATACTCACTAATCTAGGGGGAGAAATATTTGATATTGAATACTCATTATTCTATATATCCAAGTGACTTCTTCTGCAGATCAAAATCTTTCAAAGAGGTGTTTGTCTTCATCAAATAGGGGGAGACTGAAAGTGATGAAGATCTTATTGAATCATTTGATAAAAGAAAGATCTTGTTGATTTGATGAAGTCAAAGGCTAATCTAATGAAGTCAAAGGTTACTTGGGTTAAAAGGGTAGAGTGATTAGTGAGTCTGCATCTATACATAGGTATAATCATTCATATCTCTCTGCTGCATGAGGTTTCATCGTTTGAAAGAATTTGAAAATGCCTTTAAAGATGTTTTTAATCCATTAAAAACCAAAGTAATCGGTTAAATTATTTTTAGCAAATTGTTTTAACTGATATAATATGAGCTTTATCAATTAAAATGTTCTTAAAACTTACATAACAGATTTTTAACTGATAGGTTTTCAAAATAATCGATTAAAACCTTTTAAAACATTCACTGGAACTGTTTTAATTGATACACTTTTGAATTAATCGATTATTTTCATTAAAGGAGTTTTTGAAAACCCTCTGCCAGTGTTTTAACTGATATAAACTCGAAAAAATTGATTAAAATAACTTGAATGATTTTGAAAAGTGTTCTGGCAGTATTTTAATCGATGCAAACTCGAATTAATCGATTAAAAACACTTAAGATGTTTTGAAAAGTGTTCTGGCAATATTTTAATCGATGTAATCTCGAATTAATCAATTAAAATCACTTGAAAGATTTTGAAAGAAGTTCTGCCAGAATTTTAATCGATGTAAAATCGAATTAATCGATTAAAACAAATTAAGGGAATTTCGCTAACTGTTTTAATCGATTAAAACTAGTTGTTATCAGTTAAAATCACTTAGAAAGTTTTATGAAAATATTTGGCAGAATTTTAATCAATTAAATTGCGAATTAATCGATTAAAATAACTTAAGAGATTTTTTACAAAATGTTTTAATCGATTGAAACGTTGTCGTATAAGTTAAAACAAATATGGAAAATAATCAAGAATATTTTAACAGATTAAAAAAGTTTTAACATATTAATTCAAGACTTTTAACAGATAAAAATATTGTTTTAACAGATTAATTAAACCAAGTAGTTAGAACAAATCTCTATATAAACAGGATTGCTTCAGTCTTTAAAATATACCTTTGAGCAATCAATCAAGCAATCATAAGTGAAGTTTTTCAAGAAAGAATCGCGCAAGTTTTGTGGTGTTTTTGAAAGTTATTTCTTGAGGCATTTTTGCATTCTTTTTGTGAAGAAACTCATACTGCAGGGACTGCATAATCCGGGTTAGATTGTTCTGGTTTCTTCTTTTTCATTTTCTATCATTCTTTGTTGTACTGTGAGTGCCTGGAATTGTTGGGCACGATTTTTGTGGCTAGAATTTTGCTGTAGGTTGGTTCAAGAACTGGAAGTTGGTTCTTGGTGAAGGTTTAGGTGCAAGAATTGGAATTTTGGTTCTTGTGTTAAATTGGGTGTGTGATTGGAATCTGTAATCTGTAAAACATTCAATCTAGTGGAACTCAACTGGAATTTGGCTGAGAACTGGAAGTAGCCCTGGGATTGGGTGAATCAATATAAATCTTGGTTGTATTTCTCTAAACCTTACTCTCTTTAATTGTGTTGTTGCCTTTATTTTAATTGCTTGTTTTTCTTGATTAAAGAATTGGTTAGAACTCTTAATCTTTGAAATAAATAATCTGTAAATTGCGAAAATCTTTCAAAGATCAATTCACCCCCCTCTTGATCTCAGCCTTCTTTTCTAACAACCTTGTTTCTAAAGAAAAAGGAAGGAAAGATTACAATTCTTATTGTTTATGTTGATGACATGATAGTTACGGGAAACGATCTAGAGGAACGCAAGACATTGAAAGAGTACTTGACAAAGGAATTCAAGATGAAGGATCTTGGTCCTTTGAAGTATTTTCTTGGAATTGAGGTCTCAAGATCAAAGTCAAGTATTTTTCTCTCACAACGAAAGTATGCATTGGATTTACTGAAAGAAATTGGAATGACAACATGCAAACCAACAAATTCTCCAATTGAAGGAGGATTGAAGATGTACATTAAAGAAGATCAAACTCCAACTAATAAAGGAAAATATCAGAGACTTGTAGGGAGATTGATGTATCTCTCACACATCAGGCCATATTTAGCTTATGCTCTTAGTGTGGTTAGCCAGTTCATGCACAATCCAGGTAAAAAACACATGGATGCTGTTATACGAATTTTAAAGTACATAAAAACTGCTCCTAGAAAAGAAGTTATATTCAAGAATAACTCCAACCATAAGGATGTGATGGTTTATACTGATGCGAATTGGACATGTGCTCTTGGTGATAGAAGATCAACCTCTAGATACTTTACATTTATAGGAGGTAATCTTGTCACATGGAAAAACAAGAAGCAGAAAGTTGTAGCTAGATCCAGTGCATAAGCTGAACTTAGAGGAATGGTTCTTGGACTTTGTGAAGGTTTGTGGCTCAGACTACTTCTCCAGGATTTAGGGTATGCACATACACGTCTCATTCAGTTGTATTGTGATAATAAAGTTGTGTGTGACATTGCTCACAATCTTGTCCAACATGATCAGATGAAGCATGTTGATGTTGATAGATTTTTCATCAAGGAAAAACTTGATAAAAATATTTTGGAATTGCCAAATATTTGATCTAAAGATCAACTGACAGACATTGCTACCGATAAGTCAGATTTTTAGGAGGTTATTGGATAAGTTGGGATGTATGACATCCATTTACTAACTTGAGGAGAGTGTTGGGATAAAAATATTTGATTAGCTAAATTATAGGTTTGTATAACGGTACAAAATATTGTATAATTAAAACTTTCTTTATTTAGTCCTCGATTTGTTAGAATAAAATACTATAAGATTATAGTATTTATATACAAAAATAATATGAATAAAATTATAAAATAAATTTATATTTTTTAATTAATATAAGACAGTAATATTATCTACTAATATTGGTAATAAAATGAGTAAGTAAATAATTATTAATTAAAAAAATGGTACTATTACACTAAGTCGTTAGGTTTGTTAGAGAAACCTTACTTTGAGGCCAAACTGTTATTTAAATTATTTAGTGATTGATGAGATACATCACTAAATAATAAAGCTCATCATATTTATTATTTTAGTCTTGAGTTAAAAATTGGTAAAAGTAATAAAATTTATTATAATTATAAACTAAAAATTAATAAAAATAATAAAGTTTGTCATATATATTATTTTACTCTCAAATTAAAAATTGATAAAACTAATGAAGTTTCTCATACTTGTTATTCTAATCAAAATTTGTAATACTTATTATTTTAATCCTGAAATAAAATAAACAAAGATAATAAATTTCGTTACTTAACACATAAGTTTATATCATGTAATTTTTTTATTTATTTATAATATTATATATGTATTGTGAACTAAATAGAGATTTAACTCATAAGACCAATATTTAAATTGGGAAGTCATGTAACACACAGTTCAAACACGTTAATATTTAAATTAAGTGATTATTACATAAACATGTGTCTTCTTCATGAAAGCGAAACCATTTATTATTTTTAAATAAACAGAAACTAAAAATGAAAAAACAGATTAATATGGTGGAACCACCTTTCACTTTTATTATCAGCTGGCGCAGCCCGACTCTAATCAGCAATGGTCCAAGTCATGTCATTCTCGAATATCCAATGGCACACCTCAATCTGACCCGGACCCGATCCAAGGGCTATGAAAGCGCCGTGGGTGGGGCTCCATGCAGTGGTGTCCAAGTGACAGATAGCAACACCGTGGTTAATCTTGGCCTTCGATTCCGGGTCAAGTAGATCCGCTTCATAGACCCGAACCTTGGGAACGGAGTGACAGTAGTACAGCAGGTAAGGGAACAAGCTCTGGTGGCACGAGACGGATTGGGTTACCTTCCCACCGTTCATCCCTTTGACCCGACCCACCATCACATTCTTATTGAACCCATTTACGTTCTCAGTGGTCCAAACCGCCACATTGCGGCCCAAAATAGAGGTTGCAAAAACAATCATATCCTCGACAGAACCCACACAACGCTTGATCTCTCCGACGCTGGGTGCTCTCTCGCACTCAGTCAAAGAGTCCATGATCATCTTGTCCATGGAGGAGTTATCAGACACCTTGAAGACGCGCTTCAACTCCTCAACCTTTGAAGAAGAGAAGGGCAGTTTCGCCAAAATGGAGCGGGGCAAAAACGACCTTTGTGGCATTTTATCCCTTATGTCTGGCATGGGCATGACAGTTCCTTCCTTAAGCATGCTCTCACGAAAAAACTTACCCGGCTCAACCCACCTTTTCACCAAACTCTCACTAACGGTTTTAGAAGCGGAAGAGGGAGAGGAAGAGGTGTTGTAAGCAGCGAAGGAAATACCCTCTTTGGCGTAATCCTTAAACGTAGTGTTTGTGTTAACACCGTAGCCGGTGAAGCCAACCTTGGTTCCTTGTTCTGCTCCTTTAGCGTAGCCTTTGAAAGTGTCTGAACCAGGGTTGGCGGTGTTACCGTAGTTTTTGAAACCCACATCGGACCCTAACGTGTTCTTAGCGTAGGATTGGAAGGAATCGTCACCTACGTTAGCTTGGTCCCTGTAGTTGGAGAAACTCTGCGTCCCACCAACGGTTCCGTCTGCGTAGCTTTGGAAGTTCTCTTGGGGATCGTTCATGTTAACGCCGTAGTTTGTGAATGTATCATTGGGACCCGCGCCTCCCTTGCCGTAGTTGGTGAAGCCAGAGGAGGCCACGTTGGAGTCTGTTCCGTAGGCTGTGAAATCATTTGCGGCTCCAGCGGAGTTCTTGCCGTAGCTCCGGAATGTCTGGCCACCGGCGTTTCCGTTCTCGCTGTAGCTGGAAAAAGTCTGCGTCCTCCCAGCAGAGCTGTCGGAGTAGGTGGTGAATCGCAGGTCAGGGACGTTTGAATTTCTCGAGTAATTTTTGAACTCGCTGGAGCCTCCGCCGGTGTTGATGCCGTACGTGTTGAAGCTCTGGTCTGCGACGTTGGTGTCAGTGGCGTAGCCGGTGAAGGTTTCTTGGTGTCCAGCAGCTCCGCGGCTGTATCGACGGAAATCGTTGACCGGAGTGCTAAAGATATCGTTGGAGTAGTTCTTGAACGTGTCGATTCCGCCGGCTCTACTCGTTCCGTAATTAGTGAAGTTCTGGCCGTCGTTGTAGGTTTGAAAATTCTCATCTACAGCGTGTTTCTCCAGGCTTGAACGGACCTCCGGGAAGCAGAGAAGGTGGGCGGAGGAGCAGAACTCCGGCAAGCGTGCGGAGAGGGTGTTGGTGGCGGCAAGCTTGGTGAATGAGGCGGTGTCGGCGGCGGTCATTGGGGAGGCCTTGGAGAGTAGGAAGGAGGGCTTGTGGAAGGTGTTGCGGACGTGTTTGTCCCAGTAGCGTGCCGCTGAAGCCTTTGGCGTAAAGGGGTTTTTATCTCCCAAGTCACGACCACCCAAACCCACCTGCGTTTATAGACACACATTCAATATGTTAGACTTGAACATAACAACATAATAGCATGTGTTGAAGTAATGAGAGTGAAGGAAATTGTGCTTACACTGAGCCCTGTAAGAAGGAGAACGAGAAAGAGAGAGAGGGTTGTCATGTCGTGCATGCTATTTTTATCTTTTCTTTTTTCTGTATTTGAAGTGAACTTTGATCTCTCTGCCTCTTAAAGGAGAGAAAAGCTCACAAAAGGGTTGAATGTTGGTGGATTCATGGATAAATTTATAGCAGTTAGAAATTCTCAAAAATAATTAGAAAGTGTGAAATTTCCAAGGTTAGGCAGAATTATTGAAACGTGGATCTCAAATTATAAAATTCTAATAGAGGAGATTTAAAAACAAGATGAAAGTTCTTATTTTGAATTTCAATTTAGGCTAAAAAAACCACTTAATTTGAACGAGTAGAATGAAAGTTATGATCATGAAATAAATCTGGATAGAATTAGATTTTTTGGATTAAGGACAAAAAGTGAATGTGAAAGATCAAATGAAAGAACCAATCTTTTCAAGGGAGATAACTCACAAATGATGTGAAAGTCCTTTGATACAGACAAAAATTCTTGAATCACTCAAGAACTTAAGAGAATTACTTTCACAAAGATAAAAGAGCTAAACTTTAATATTTTTGAACAAAAATCAACTAGTATTTTTAATAAAAATGCTTCAGCTTATATAAAAAGTTTTTACCATTCGAGTTACAAAGACTCAATAAAAGAAAATAAATCCTAATAATGATCCATTAATCTAGGAATTGAAAACTACTTAACGGAGACAAATAAATGCTGATAATGATCCATTAACCTAAGAATTGAAAACTACTTTGCTGATTGTAACTGAAATTGTGGCAATCAAAAGTCAATCAACTATGCACCATCTTGGTCTTCCAAGGGCTGATGCCTAAGTTTCCAATTGGGCCCTTATTATAACTTGAAACAAAACCAAACTAAAGTCCATTAATTGATTAACCCAAAACATAATTTGGTCAGTCAATTTTACAAAGGATTGAGCCATTATTTAAACAAACTTAAAGACTAAAACAAAGTGATGCATTAGTCCTCCTCTATTTGGGCCATGATACAATTTACAACTTTGATTTTTTCTCCTTGAAATGTGGATTTGTATTTAAATAATATGAACAACATTTGTTGAAGAACTTCCTTTGTTTCCCTTGCTCTAGTCTTTGTCATAGGTCCTCCAAGTCCTTCAAGTGGATCCTTGCCCTTGCCCATGGTCATGTCCCCATCATAATCCAACTAGTAAGCTGAAAAGAATAGTGAGTTGAGAATCATTTGAAAGAGAAAAGAGAGTTTCGATCATTTCTTGGTGAGATTATTGTAAGTCATCCTAAGAGTGAGTTAGTGTGCTATCCTCTTAAAAAGATAGATCCTTTTGTAGTCCTACTTTTATAGTGGATTTCTTATATTGACTTGGTCCTGTGGTTTTTCCTTATCACTTTGAGTAGGTTTTCCATGTTAAATTATTGTGTGTTATTCTCTTTTGTTTTATTTTTCTTTCTCATAAGTCTATTGTAAGTTACATAAGAGAAGGGGAATCTTTCCACTTCTGCATAATCTATTCTTTTTTCCAACAGTTCTTTGTAACAATAACTACCGAGAAGGAACAAACAAGTTATTTAGAGGCAATAAAAGATGATAGATGACGTTCAACCATGAGACAAGAAATACATATACTTAAAGACAATAGAACCTAAACAATGTAATCTTTATCAAAATACAAAAAGATGGGTATATAAGATTAAGTATAATCCAGATGGAACTATATAAGATTAAGCTTGATTAGTCATACTTGGAAAACATTAAGTTGAAGGAGTTTATTATACATATATATTTGCCCTAGTAGCAAAAATGGTTACTGTTCGAATATTATTGGTAGTTGATGCAACCGAAAATTGGAAACTTCATCAAATGGATATTCACAATGTTTTCTTACATGGTGAATTTGAAGAAGAAGTGTACATGAAGTTGCTCCTAGGCTTTCACTTTCATAATTCAAACCAAATGTGTTGTCGTCAAAAGTCCCTATACGATTTAAAACATACCCCAAGATGTTAGTTTGCCAAATTGATCGTTGCTTTGAAACAATATGGATTTAAATAATCTCTTTTTGATTGTTCATTGATTACTCTACAAAATGGTTAAGTGCAACTTAAAGTCTTAGTTTATGTTGATGATCTAATCATATGTGGAAACAATCATGAAGTTATCCAATGGTTCAAAATTACTTGAACAAATATTTTCTAATGAAAGATTTAGAAAAATTAAAATATTTCTTAGGAGTAGAAGTGACTAGATCAGCTGCTAGCATTTCCTTATGTCAAAGAAAATACATTTTTGATATAATTGTTTGGTAATCCAAGTGTGATTCTAAGTCCTACATTGAATAAAAATAAGAAAGTTGAACAACATATAAGGAAGTATGACCCATAACCCAATGTCTTAAGGTTTTTGGTTGAGAGTGGTGTCAATCACTTATATGGGCTGGACTCATGTCTCATTGAGTTGTGTTGTCTGTTGTGAATCCCCTAGAAAGACCCAACAAGTGGGTCAGGTAAGCGTATCCCGTTAAAGTTGAGCAAACATATAAAGAAGTATGACCCATAATCCAATGTCTTAAGATTTTGGATTGAGAGTGGTGTTAATCCCTTACATGGATTGAGCTCATGTCTCATTAATGTTGGTTCTCCCTAGTAAATTCCCTATCCAAAGACTCAACCGAATTTGTAGAAAATTTTTATATTGATTTCTCCTAATAAATTAGGAGGATTTATAAGATATTTAGGCCTCTAATTTAATAATGATATAGGGATGACAATTAAACCCGTACTTGTGGGGAGCGACCTAGCCCCGCCCCGAGTTTGACGGGGAAAAACGAATTGACCGGGGGCGGGGGTAGGTTCGGGTTTTCCCCGCTTTAAAAAGTTGGGGGTGGGGATGGGTAATGCAATCCCCACCCCGCCCGCCCCGTCTCCGTCTCCGTCCCCGTCCCGACTTTATATTTAAATTTAAATTTTAAAATATTAATATTTTAAAAGTATTTCATTTTCTTTTTTTATTACATATAAGGTCATTTGTTTTATATTTTACTATTTTTACTTTTCTTCTACCCACTTTTTATTTTTTTTTTGTCTTTTTTAATCTTTTATATCAATTAATTTATTATATTATTCTCTCTCTTACCTTTTAGTTTTTTACATTTTCTTAATCTCTCCAATCAATTTGTTTTTTTTTTCAATCAATTTGACGAATACAAAGTTAATTTTTTTCTTCTTTATTTTTTTAAATATTTTACATAAATCTTAGTAGTAACTAATATTATTTTATTTATAATTTATATTTATTAGGTTTTATTATATCATATTTTTTTATCTTGTTATTCTTATTTGTCATATATCAAATTTTATCTCAATAAAATAATTATATTTTAAAGTATTAAAAATAATTAATAATTTAAACTTTTATTATTTCAAACTAATTAAATAAGAATTAACTTATTAAATATTTTCTTATAAATTATATATTTCATATTTTTAAATGACAACTTAAAAATGAATTAACGGTTAGATAAATGGCATCTAGAGGGGTGAATAGATGCACAAATTAAAATAGATGTCAAATTAAAAATTTATTTTAATATGTCTAATAATTTATTTATTTAATTGTAATTATCAAATTGAACACAGATAAAACGAAAACGATATAATTAGATAGATAAAGGGAAAAATTATAGAGAAGAGAAGGACAGGTATAGGGAAGAGAAGATCACACGGAGATTTATACTTGGTTCGGGTATATCCAACCTTACATCCAGTTCCCAGTCAACTCTTAACACAAGAGTGACCCCAATTCACTATCTTTTAAATTTAGTTCACATATTACAATCAACTCAGCAAAAAACAAACTAATTCAAAAGATAATCACTTCCTTCGAAACCCACTAAGGATGAACACCTAACTAGAATCCCACTAGGGATGAACACCTCCTCTGAACAAATCAAAGGATGAAAACACCTCCTTAGAATCCCACTAAGGATGAACACCTCCCTAGAATCACACTAGGGATGAAAAACACTTCCTTTGCCACCAATACACAAAGGATGAACACCTCCCTAGAATCACACTAAGGATGAACACCTCCTTTGAATAAATCAAAGGATGAAAACACCTCTTTAGAATCCCACTAAGGATGAACACCTCCCTAGAATCACACTAGGGATGAACACCTCCTCTGAATAAATCAAAGGATGAATAACATAATTGATTAACTTAAACCTCTTAAACCCACAAAGGATGAAAGTAATAAAATAAGAACAGTCACACCTGGGTAATGGAGACAACAAATTGTAGAAGCCTGTAGAATGTCAACCTCCAAGAACAAGTGTGATTAACAATGAAAGAACAGTAGACAATGGAGAAAAGGGTTTTCTCAAAACATGTAAAATATCTTTGTTGTCTTGCTCAAAATTCTTTTTTCAAAACTGATTGAATGTAAAATGTATTTTCGAATTCTTTAATTGTGTGCTTTTTATTTTCCATCAAAACTTAATTAAATAGAAAAATAACATCAGAAAATGGTCGTTAGACATTAATATTTTCGTGGATAAAAATCAGAATATATTAAAAAACATTTATTCTTCAAAATAGATATATTTTAAATTTGAACTGTTATAATTGATTATGTTACCAGTATAATCAATTATGATAGAGAAAATCGTTTTTCCATTTCCGATGCATCATAATTAATTATGACAGTGAAAAAATATCATGTTACGAAATTTTATCACACTTGTGCTTTAGAGGTTTATGCATAATATTACTTCATCAACTTGTACCTCCATATCCAGTATTCTAAGACTCTATCTAGTCTCTAGGAATCATCTTGGGCTTGCTTGATGTTTGAATTAAATCTTTATCAAAATCATATCTTGGGTTTGCTTGATTCTTGAATGTTGTTGACTTGAATCATCATCAAAATTATCTCTTGAGAATGTAGGGACATATCCATCAATCTCCCCCTTATTGCTTTCAATCTCCCCCTTTTTGATGATGATCAAGGAAACACCTGAAATGAATTAAAATGTTTGACTCTATATA